AGGATAATGTGGTGTTCCGGGTATCACAATGAGAATACTTTACGAATACTAAGTTTGGAAGGCAACGTTCCCCCTGAATCAATGTTGCCAAGGAGAGCTAATATCCTCTATCTTGGGCACATAAACTTATCCATATTCCACTTCGCCACTTATTTTTCACATGAAGTTCGTTACTTAAGAGAAGTTCATTGGATCAAGATTTCTTCCAAGTAGAGAAAATAATGAAAGAAGCATATTGTATTATGACAAAAGTTTATGAAAGGGACATTGCCTCATTTCTAACCAGAAGCGAGTTTACTTCAACCTCTTTTGGAACATATTTCCTTTTGAGGGTATAAGAAGATTCGCCAGGGGCATTCGGTGCTAGGTCGTTCTCGGAGTCACACTTTTTTTGCTCTACCTCTAAGTCCGACATCTCACCCAACAAATGTTGAGGAAGAGGAAAGTCCATATGCTTGATCTCCTCAAGAATTCTGAAGACATTTCATCCCCTGGGATGCTCTCGTCGAGGATATTTGATAAGGAATCCGACGTTGAACTTTTCTTCATGTAGTTTCTTATGATCTTCTCGAAGTGCAGACACCTCGAAAGAATATCCAACGGTAAACTGTTGGAGTTTCGCGATACGCTCGTCATCTTTACTGCAGACCTCTTGACGAAGATTCTTAACCTCTTTTAAAATAACTCCCTGCTTCTTAGCCAGGCGTTCTATTCGGAGGTTAACACACGCTTTGATTCTTTCCTTAAGGCAACAATAGCTTGGTTCATTTCTACCTTGGCTTGCCTTTCGAGCCCCAATTCCCCTCGAATCTACTCAAAGCTTTCTCGGTAATCTTTAGCCTTCACCTCTTTGACAGTAGTTAGGTCACTATAACGAATTATATTTGCCTGATAGGCAGAGTCTGAATCTTGTTGCTTGGTGACACGCCCCGATCCCGGTGTCCGAAGGACAACAGGATGACCAAGTGCTGGCTGACATCCGAAGGTGTCGCAAACCATTTCTACTATATGAGTTTTCTAAAACTAGGGGTTAGTACGTTGAAGAATAATTGTTTAAGTATTACATATATATAAACTTAGTCCACTCATGTTTTGTTTTGCGCCCCCTTAAGGACCTAGGAATGACGAATATGACCCGAGCTACAAGGCATTCCCATATCAGTGAATTTGTGTCCTCCACTCTGCGTAAGACATCTCTTGTAATCACACTTTCTAATATTCCTTTCACTTGTATCTCGAATTAGTAGTATGCTCTGAACATGTTCATGTATTATCACTTTTAATATGTTGATAGTTGAATATTCTCCTTCTATTACTGATCAATACCTTATTACTATTATTTTGTTAAGGTTTGTATTTTGATATTACATTGCGTGGTTACGCACAAAAATTATATGCATTTACATGTTCTCGGCGTATACATTCATAAAATAGTTTGTGTCACCTTTGGGTGTCGGCCAGCACGTGGCCATCCCATTGTCGTTCAAACATCGGGATCGGGTGTGTCACTTGGCGTGCACACTCTTGAGTTCTTTAGATTCGGTTAACAAATGTTGTTCCGCCTCAATCTTTGCCGCTGTTTCAAGACCCGTAACTCACTCAAGCTCTTGGATCCACTTTTCTTGTCGAAATAAGGTGACCTCTGTCTAAATGTTGGCCTATTACAAAGAGTATATCAAATGGGATTTGTGCATATCAACAAAGTAAAATAGAGAAGATCAAGATAGATACCTTATAGCGACTCCCGTAACACCGCATCATGACATCGTTAAGAGAGGTACATGTTCCTTTTGAGTCGTCAGAGGCAATAATTGCTCTAAGCAACGCATGGGCGTAATCCACATTTTGAAGACCACTGGTGTTCGAAGGAAAAGCAATTCGGTCAATTGAAGGCCGGATCACAAGATGAGGATAAGTTGTCCTCTCAGATCTTGACAAAACCATTTGGAGAAGATCATTATAATTGAATGGCTTATCCAGAAACACTCGTGATTGAGGGACATAAGTTAACGCCAATGCAATAGAGGACACAACAACTTCGCTCAACATAGATGAATACTCGGTTGAAGAACAAAAAAAGCAAAATGAGACTCCAACTCCGACGACGAGGCAGCACCACCGAAGGATACAAAGGAATTAAAGAAGGCAGCTTATCTGCCACTGATGTAGGGGCAAAGACATTGGGATTTGGTGACATAAGAGCAGCCACACGTCTTTTTCTTTGGAGAAGGATTTCTTCTTCCCCTCCAAGACCTTTGAAAGACGTGTCACTAATCGTCAGTTGAGGCTGAGGAGTCACAATAATTGGACGAGAAAAAGAGCTTCTAGGATATTTCTGCTTATTTGGGACAGGTCATAGTGCAGTCGCTGGTTTAAAAGAACGAGCCCTTCTATAGACACTGTGAGCGTTAACCCACTTCGGATCCTTTGGAGGAGTTTAGAACAATGAAAAGCATCGATATCCTTTCCCCAGTCAATGAAGCACTCAGTGGAGAATAGTCATTTCTAGTTAAGATAAATAGCTAGAATTTGTATTGCTCTGTGAATCAAGTCTGCACGGTACAGTCTAATTTAAGCAACTTGTCTTTGAAGTTAGGAATGGTTTGAAGGCTAGATCTGATCCGAACTCCGCTAATGTCTTTTACCTATGCTCCGTCAACAACCAGTGTATCTTCAAACCAATCTTTGTCATGACAAGGGATGTCCTGGATATATAAGTCTCCCAAGCAAAGCTAGTTCTGGCAGCCAAATAATACTGATTGTTCGAACACGACCTAATGTTATGCAACATCCTAAACTCGGGGATATCTAACTTAGCCCCTAACCACTAATTAAGCAACTCGAAGTAGGTAAGAAGCCTAAAGGCGGCAGGAGGAAGATTGTAAATGGCAATGTCATAACACAACAAAATGCCCTTCAGAAAGGAAGAAAGGGGAAAACAAATGCGCAATCATGGTAGATCAGCATAAATATTGTGGCCAGGCTCCTACCAGACATTGCAATTGTTCAGAATGTCGCGACACATTTCAACAAAAGATTCACCCTCTTCTTGGTTACAAACTCTCGTTAAAGGAAGATTGTATGGAGAGACCCTGATCGATTTGGATTTCTTACTCGAATACACCATTGGGTAAAGATTAAAAAAAGTTAAGAGAGTTTTGAAATAGGTACGGATAAAAGTTGGAGCTTTTTTTGACAATGAGGGTTTATGGTGAAAGAATGAAGAGAGGTTAGATGATATATAGACACAGTTTGAACAGGTCATCTAGCCGTTGAATCTAGACCGACTCCCTTTGGACCAATTGATCTGACGATTGGGAGAGGCAAAGAATTTCAGAAGAAATTTCTTGTGTCGTGTGCGCAAATTTTGGACACGATGTTTCATCATTGCAAGTTTTATGGCACGTTGCACGAAGATAGACGCTTGAATCTAAAACGATGTCACGTCAAAGTTAAAAGTCACCTCGCATTCATGAAGACTAAACGCTAAATATTCCAACTTATCTTCAAAGACATGGTCTTTAGTAACAATCAATCCTCAAGGGGAACATGTTGACAAATAGTTAGGGGCAATTGTGGGACCATGGTTTTCCTGGGCTGTAGTAAAAGCTTATTCGAATATTGCTACTTCAAAAGTCTGGTCATGGACTCACCAATTTTGGGCGAAGCTTTATCAGACGAAGTAGGATGCCACCATCATTCTGCTTCGGGGTAATAGGTGGAGTCCAAGCGATTCAGCTGAATGACCATGCTTGTTCCTCAAGACATGCTATTTGATCCAAATATGGACTCAATCAAATCCTATATGTCTTGGAGTCCCTACAATCTAGGGATAGGCGTACGCCGCAAGTAATCACACTTCTAAGAGGATGCAATATCTACTTACTAGATACTCTCTTGGATTCTCTCGGCTTAGATCAAGGATTCTATCCTAAAATGGTCTCTCCCACAGTATAAATACACCCATCTAGGGTTCATCTATGGTAATGCAATCTATACACCTGAATTCTCTTGCCCACTGCTTGAGTCTCAAATCATTCACTAACTTGACTGTCACAAAGCCTTTGGCACAAACCCCCCTCCCCGACCAAGGTTTGCTCACAGTTGTTTGCTATTTTGCAGGTTGCTCCAGACTGTACGGATTTGTGCTCAACCACCGGTTATGGAGGTGCGCAGATTTGGTTCCAACCCTTATATTTTTACTTACCACAACTTATAATCTAACCGGGAATGGATGGGATAATGAGCATCACTGCCGCTTATATGGTTATGGTTGGTGAGCAAAAATGTGCTCTTCTTCTTATGTATTAAAGAACTTAACTGAGTTTCCTATCTTAATGCATGGAAACTCTTATTTTGTTGCTCGTGTGGCTCGTACGAGGGGCTCCTCAAGCAAATTGATCTTATTCGGCATTTGTATAATACAAGCATAGCAGGTCTTATTTTCTTCCATAAAATGAAGTCTGTACATTCATTCTAAGTTCCACAATTACCACCAGGTCCTCCAAAGAGGAATCTATAACGCCAACCCTCGAGCCATGTATCTTTATCGTTTTGTAAGGCATAACAACCTGTTCCATCTGCATGTTCAGTAAAAGAATCACAATATGTGGGAATCACTTGTTCAAGACCCTTCAGCATGTAACGAACTTCTTTGAAATAAGCAGCATGATCATAGAAACCATCGGGGAATTGACCACCCCCCATCGGAGGGATGTCTTCGTTTTCTTTAGTCATGGCAATGCCTCCCCACCCCGCATCTTCAGCCCTATTGAGTAAGCCAGGAACTATTTCCTTTGGCCAATACCCCACTGTAATATTCGATTTTGCACCTATCTGAAGCCACCAATTTTCTGATACTGGATCCTGTGAATTCAAAGTAAAAGAAATTTACATGAAAGAATATTAACAAAATATAATGTAATAACAACTTTATTGCATGATTCCAACATTGAAAAGCAACACAAACAATTACCGGTAGATTGACAATCCGACATCATATGTATCTCCACCAAACTTAGATACTGGTCCTAGAGAAGTTTTTCGGACCAGTTGTCCGGTCAGTTTGTACAAACCCCTGGCAGAGGAAATCAAAGCACCCGGTCTTATCTCCATCTGCCTATATGTTCAGAAAGACGAAGTTGAGTACGTACACTAATATATGTAGTTCATAGGAAAATGTATTCTTCTGCCGGATTGTACTTCTTTACATTGTACGATTGTGAATGTGAATAATAAGTCATGTTGATTGTTGCCTACATGTGTGGTTCACAAAAGTCTGACAATATAAGCATATGATTGGCAACATAAGCATTTGTATGCTAACAAAACATTTTACATGATTTTTACTGCCTTGGAAGGAAAAATATTTTGAAGAAGGAAAGGAAAGGAGAAAATGAAGATTACCAACTTACCCAATACACAAATAATTGAGGAATGTCATCGCTGTTTATTGGTTGTGACACCTATGACAATATGACATATTTTGATGAGTTTATACTAGATGAAGAAAGAAGTTGGAAAATCACAGATTGCTGTTTAGAAATTAAAGATGTATCACATATATGTACATACCATCACCCCAGCAATAAGAACATTATAGTTTCCCTGCGGAGCACCTTCCACCCAAACATTGGAGTGCTGGACCAATCCGGCGATGAGGGTAGCTTGTAAATCGAACAGATCCCAGCTACTCCATATTATGCGACGCCGGCTTTTTGGTTTATTCTAACAAACACTTGCTGAGTCTCACAAGAAATGTGGTAGATATTAGATGGTCTAGACCAGATATTTGAGAAATCATTATATAATGTACACGAATTTGATCAAGGCATCAGTAGTGATCAGTGTTTACATGAGTGTTCGGGGAAAGGGCATTAGTTTTTGCGGCATTGCGAAACATTTGAAGTGAAAGACTTTTGGCCATTACTAAATCATCCTTTGTTGTTCTAGGTATAGGAACTGTTCCCTCAGGGCATGCTTCCATTTTAGACAATGTTTCGGATATCGGATCAATCACAGGAGCTGATTTTTGAGTCTCAGCTGGAAATGAAGTTGGTCGCAGCTGCATAAATCATCCAAAAATTATGTAATTAGGATTAAAAGAGGCACAGCTACTGTAATTAAAATTTTTCATAACTAATTTCTTTTCAACAAAGAAATAGGAACATTGAAAGAATGGAAAAGATGAATCAATTAATTTATCTGGGTTTTGTGATTCTTGAGCAATTGGTTATCAAGTGCAGGTTGGCTATAAATGTCTATGCAATCAAAAACGTCATCTCCACGCTTTGACACAAAAATTAGAAAAATCACAATTCAAAAGTAAAAGATAACTTCTTTCTTTTCTATAGAAAAGCAGTTGGGAAGTGATTTCGGCAGTCCCATTTTTCCCCAAGTCACCTCCTTCTGTTTTTCTGTCTTTGGATTGATTAAATAAAAGAGGAGTTAAGGATGAGTTCGGATGGAAAAAACGTATGTGAAATCTACTATCCTGTGTATACTTTTGCCGTTTGTTCGAAGATTTATTTTATTTGTATTATAAAAATTAAACATTAAATTGAATCATATATGCAACAATACCTGAATGGTTTTGACGATAGACTTGTTAAGACTCTGAAGTTGTCTTTCCAATTCCATGTCATCTTCTCCTGGAGTAGTAGTCGCCATGACTCTGCTGCAGTCATGTTTTCTTAAACATAAGATGACCAACAAAGCTGTTCTCAATCTGGAGCTCATGTTAGCCGAACCGCAACCGACGATAAGAGGACTAAACTTGTCTAGATATCTACTTGCAAGCCTTTTCCTGTGAAGCAACAACAAGAGAGGCCCTTTGAATATATGCATAGTCAGAGGTTGTTTTGCAAATTATGCATGTGTGACAGGTTGCAGAGAACCAATTTGTTTTTAAGCTGTACACCCTCATAACAAGCCAAGCCAATTTAATTCTCTCACACATAATTAATTTGTGGACTGGAGAGAAAAGTCTAGACTTCGTGAATTTCCTCACAAGGAAATAAAATCGGTTCGTATGCTTTTGTAGAGGAAACGTATGTATTATAAGGGTAAACTACTGTCTACTCCCTCAACGTTTTATTCAATTTCAACTTGATAAAACAACTAATTTTTTCAATTTCATACAATGACTCTTGTTTCGTACCAATTTCATACAATCGTTAAAAAATCTGATAAGTTGACCATTAAATGATAACGTGATGACAAATGCCTAGCCCATTTTTTGCCGACGTGGCAGATGCACGGGGGACATTAACTAGTACAGCAGCAAGAAATGGATAGAAAACAAAATTACAGCCTACCTTTACAAAGTTACATTTCAGAGGTTTCCGTAGTCGCTCAACAGCTGACTGAATAGCTGGTAATATATCCAAAATAAATTGGTGATAAAATGTAAAATACTTCTGCAAATTCCTAATGTTTTCAATTTCTAATGTTGCACGGAAAGCCCTTAAAAATCACTGCTATTAGCTTATCGAGAAATCACCGCTCCATCCAAAAATAAACGTCATACTCATATTTATGTGTATATAAATATAAAGCATAGGAAATAACAAGGAGCTGAGTGAGTGAAGAATAACAGAAAAATAATTCCTTCGGATCGATAGGAATTGCCGCTACTCCGATCGAAATGCCTTGGACTCTTGTTTTTCTCCTTTACTCTGTAGGACTCAACCTTCACACACACACACACACACACACACACACACATATATATACAGGGACGAAGCTAGAGATTTGTATCAATGGGGGCATCCTCAAACAACAAAGTTACAATTAAAAAGCTAAAAAAATTTACTAAACAAACACTTATATATTAATCTATAATGTTTTTCATACAAAACACTTTGAATCATTGTTGGCGAAGTCAGTCATATTGATACTAAGAGAAATGCTAAGGAGACCCTCTCAAAACGGGACTCTCCATCACCTCATGTTTTTTGGCACAATGTTTAATGATGTTGGTACGGGGATTGTACTAAAAACATGAGGTGACGGAAAGTTCATGGAGAGGTCCACTTTTGGAAGAGTCTCCTTAGCACATTTCCCTTGATACCAATTAACATATAGGGTTTGATTTTTATTTTAATTAGGATTGGTCATTGAGATGCAAAATTGTGCAATTTTTCTGCACCCCAAACAAAATTTGAGTGGGGGCATCCACCCCCTCTAGGCCCATAGCGGCTCCGTCCCTGTATATATATATATATATATATATATATTTAATCTTTTATGTATTTGTGCCCATGTGGCAATTCACACATGTGTAATGAGCTAGTTTATAAAGCCACTCTCTCTTCCAACACTAAGAAATAATTAAATACATTTTTACAAAAATTGTGCCATTCTTCTTCTTCCTTCCTCCACCTCCATTTCTGTAACTTGCAAGCAGGGCCGGTCCAGAGATTTTTAAGGCCCGGGGCGACGTCAAAAAATGTGCCCTCATTTCATATAAAAGATATTTGTTTTCACACGTAAAACATCAATAAAATTATATTTAGAAAAACACTTCAAATTCAATAATTTAAAAATATGGAATAATTAATTTATTTTGTATCAAGAGAAGGAAACTAAAAAACTTCGGGCTTAGAAGTAGATAAATTATGAGTTTTGTTTTCCATCTGAACTTTTAAAGTGTTATTGTATAAATCGTGAGTTATTTTTTCTTATTTAATAACCTCTTCAATATAAGACTAAAAAAATATTAATGTTTTTGAGTCTTTAAGGATATGTATAAGTAATGAATGAACACTAAATTAAACATTTTGATGACACGTAATATTATTTCAAATTTGGTCTAAAATTTTAGTCTGCGCATTACTCTTTGCTGAAGATTAGACTTGAATTGGAATGAATATTTAAAAATAGCAACCCACATAACTACTAGCTAGTAAATAAATTAACAACCAAACAAAAATTTGTAAAAATTGAAAAAAATAAACATGCACATAGCATTTCGAACTTAGGACCTCTCATTAATTTTAAACAACAAAAACCATTACTTCTAATTAAACTTCTTGATCATTTAGCCAAATTTTATAAATTTGTATTGTTATGAAAAGAAATTTTTTAAAATTGGAATGTAAATAAGCACACATGGTGTTTTGAACCTAAGACCTCCTCATTCATTTTAAACAACAAAACCACCAGTTCTAGTTAAATTTCTTTGTCACTAAACCAAATTTTATAAATTTATACTCTTATAAAAACATATATAAATATACCACCCTAATAATTTTGGCGCCCCCAATATTTTTGGGCCCCAGACAGTCATCCTGCCCGCACTGGGCCTGGGCCGGGCCTGCTTGCAAGATGAGGTTGAGGTTGAACCATCTCTGGATTTGGTACTTATTATTGGTATATCACCCTCCAGCCCTGGTTTCCCTTCCGTGCATGCCCCATCATACAACCACTACTCGTTTTACAACCGCGTTGCTTCCCTGGAAGCTTCCATGGCTTCCTTGGCTTCCTTGCCCTCTCTGATCGATGAAGTTGTTTCTAATACGTTGGATACTAAGCTCCGGGTTTATTTTGAGCAGTTTCATCATGAGCTTCAATTTCGAGGTGGTAGGAGTGGCCCTTCGGTTTCTGCAGTCTCTGATGTTCCAGATCATTAGGAAATCGAGCATATTTAGCAACCTTGAAGTCCTACCTATAATGGTGGAAGTCAATCTCCATGTCCGCAGTGGTCTCAGCACATTAATTTCCTCGATTCATTGAGGGTAATGATCCCTTGACTTGGATCTACAAGGCGGAGCAATTCTTCTTATTCTACAACACACCTGAATCTCACTGTGTTCTTACTGCCTCCTTCCATCTGGATGGTGAGGTATTGTGGTGGTTTCATTGGATGGACAGCTTGCATACAATACCTAGTTGAGATGAGTTCACAAGAGAACTTTACAAAGAATTCAGGCCTCTGGAATTTGAAGACAGTGTTGAAGCTCTATTCATGTTATGCCAACCAGGTACTTTTGGAAACTATATTTCTGAGTTTAGGCGTTTAGTAAATAGAACTCATGATGCTGGTCATGTGCTGCTTATGAGTTGTTTCGTAAAGAAAGCTCAAATTTGATGTGAAATTGTTGAAACCTACTATTGTACATGAGGTCACTGCTATTGTTGTGCAATTAGATACTAAGATTACTAAGCTTAGAGGAAGTCAATCTAAACCAACTCCTTACCTAAATCACAGCATGTAGTATCCACCACTAATCCCCACACTATTCCTAGATCGGGTAACTTAGCCATTAAGAAATTGTCCCTGATGAAATTCAAAGGAAGAAAAAGAGAGAGAGAGAGAGAGAGAGAGAGAGAGAGAGAATGTTGGTTTTGCACTAATAAATGGACCAAATGACGCAAGTGTGGGTTAAATTCAAACTGAGGACCTGTCACTTCATCGCCAAATTTCGGGTAGATAGGTAAAAAAGGTCTGCATCCTAAACTACGAAGGTGGTGCATTAAATGCCAAGTTGGGGTGACCCAAGGCTAATGTGTTCATTAATTGAGGGCATATATAAAGGGATGAAGACCTCCTGTGTTGGGGTCGGATAGCTAAGAGAAGAGATGATGTATTAGCCAAGCTTTATTGAGTCTTGAAATTAATATAGATCCAAGTACCACAAAGGACGTAGCATAGTTTTGAGGGGAGAACCACTTATATCTCTGAGTCTAATCCATTTCATTTTGTATCCAAAGCCGTCCTAGGGTTTAGAATTTTAATTTGTTAACCTCCCATTTTTTAGAATTCATATAGTGGAAGTACAAGCTATGGAATCAATGTTCATCGAGTGGAAGTACAAGCTATGCAACCACTATCAGACTTTTGAAACTTATGGTGGAGATTTGACCCATCCACCTCATGGTTTTGAGCATAGGACGAACGAGTGACACTAGTTTTGTGGTTCTTTTCAAAAGTTATAATTTCTAGAGATGGACTTCTTCCAAAATGAACCAGTTGGACATCTTAGAGACAATACGCCAACAAACAACAACAACAACAAAGCCTTTTCCCACTAAGTGGGGTCAGCCATATGAATCCTAGAACGCCATTGCGCTCGGTTTTGTGTCATGTCCTCCGTTAGATCCAAGTACTCAAGTATAAAATAAATGCGCATCCAGGGAATCGAACCCTGGTCAGTACCGTGGGAGGGTACTATGATACCACTACACCAGATGCGCTTGTTTCATAAGGATTCGACGTAATCATGGAGTGTCGGCTGTCGACTACCTGACGCCCTCCCCCTCCTCCTTTATCCGGGCTTGGGACCGGCAATGTTAGATAAACTTACACGGCGGAGTTTTAGAGACAATACGCCAGTGAGAATAAATTTGTTTTTCAATTTTAGTATAATTGTACGAACATTTTAGTTTTAGTAATAAAATGCATTATTTTTTATATTGTGATATCTTGTGAGATTGATATAATAAAACTAGCATATGGCCACACACAAGGTGTGTGAAATTTTTTTTATTTTTGTTTTTGAAGTAGGAGGAGAGAGGAAGAGAGTGATAGAGAATCTGGGGGTGGGAAGAGAGGTTTATTTTTTATTTTTTTTAGTTTTTAATTAGAGATATGTTAGAAACATATAGATGAGGCTTTGAAGGAAAAGAAAAAAGAAAATTTATTGTTGTGTAAAATTACATTTATACCCATATTTCTTATTCATTTTCAATTTTAATTAGAGGTTAAACTGGTAATTTTATAGGTTTTGGTTGACAATAAGTGTTTTATTAATATGTACTTTAGATTAAACATAATTTAATATATTTTTTTAAATAATAAAATACTATTGCTTGACGAAGGCTGTTGACAAGCTAGTCTTTTCTAATTTTTTTTTATCATAAAGCTTACCCGGTGAAAATTTAGTCGGGTTTAATGTATTTTATTATTTTTTCGACAAAATAAAACTTTGCTCGATAAAAAAATTTGGTCGGGCATGTAAGGTTTGTAAAGCAAAGTTGGTCAACACAATTTTCCTCGCACTACTATAAAAGTGGCTTATTGAGTCAGCAGTTGGTATTAGTTTTATATAATATAGTGGCAGATTAGACATTTCCGACGGCCACTTTAAATGGTGTGGGAATTACTGTCGGTTATAACCAACATAAACTGTCTATGTTGCTTATAACCGACATAGACTGTTAATATCGCTTATAACCAATATAGTTTTTAATCTTTTTAAATGGTGGTGTTGTATAAAAAGATAATCTTGTCGCTTTCAATCGACATAAAATTAATGTCGGTTAAAAAGAGAATCGTGTTGCTTAAACCCGACATTAATAATTATTTTAAAATATTTTAAAACTTCCTTTCGGTTGTAGCCGACAGGTTCGTATTTTTATATATCCTCTCTCTCAATAATATCAAAACCCTTTCTCTCATTTCGCTCAGCCCTCTCTCCCTTTAATATCATAACCCTAGCTGCATCTCATTTCCCTATAATGAAAAGCCCTAGCCGCACCTCATTACTCACTCTTCTCTGCAAAAACCCAAAACCAACGAGTTTGCCATGGAAATGTAGGCACATCTAAGCTCCAATAAGAAGCAAACTAATACTTGCTAGTTTGATTTGTGTATGAGTTTCTGGATCTGCTAAAGAAATAATGGGAAAAGGCATAATAACATTCCAACAGCTCAGATCCGAAACAAAAAGGGTAAAAAAATCCGCTGCTGACACATGTACAGCGGCTGCAGATACAACCTAAGAAAGATGCAGAGGTCCAACAATCATAGTACTCGTCCCCAAAAGTCCGATCTCAGCTAATCTACAAGAAAGGTAATAATCTTTTCTGGTTTCCTTTCACAGATGTGAGCTCGGTGTGCATTAAATATGTATGTATATGAATGTGAACTCCTTGTTTCTAGTTGTGAGCAAAACAATGGCTGATCTGGTGTCCACAAGGGAAATGCAAGGAGTGGCTTGGTTAAATCACAATTCCAAGCAAACAAAAGGTAAGAAACCTTGTTTGTACATGTTGTAAGTTTGATCTTAAAAAATATGGCTATGTATCATGGCATGTCTCATATTTCTGCATTGTCTGTGTAGGACACTCGAACCTAGGGTATATTCGACAAAGGAAATGTTGAAGTTGCAGATCCAAAGGCAAACAAATTATCAACTGACACATCTTCGGATCTGAAAGGTATACGCTCATCTGTGCTGAGATTTTTCTGGATCTGCAACGTGTGTGAATGGATATGGAATGCATGTATCATTTGAAGATACATGTGGACCATTTGGAACTTGACTTTCTTTGAGAACAAAAGAAAAATCCACCTCCAAACTAAATAAATGACATGTTTTTTTTTTTTTTTCGAATGCATTAGTGATAGATCCGCTGACAACAATCGTGTTTCCTCAATAGCTCATGGTGTTGTTTACATGTTGTAAGATCCCATAGCGCCCGGGGGAGGGGAGGTGATGTGCCTTCTATGTACATGCCCACCTCCCTATAGTGAGACGCTTTTTGGGTGGAAGACCAAGAACAAAACTGTGAGGACGTGGCACAAAATGGACAATATCTTACTATGCAGACTGGGATGTGACAATTTAGTATCAAAGCCACTCCCCGGCCGGAAGTGTGCCAATGAGGACGTCCGACCTCTAAGGGAGGTGGATTGTAAGATCCCACATCGCCCGAGGAAGAGGAGGTGATGTGCCTTATATGTACATGCCCACCTCCCTATAGTAAGACGTGTTTTGGGTGGAAACCCAAGAACAAATCTATGAGGGCATCGCCCAAAGCGAACAATATCTTACTATGCGGATTGAGATGTGACAATTTGGTATCAAAGCCACTCCTCGGCAGGAAGTGTGCCAACGAGGGCGTCAGGCCCCTAAGGGGGGTGGATTGTAAGATCCCACATCGTCTTTGGGAGGGGAGGTGATGTGCCTTATATGTACATGCCCACCTCCCTATAGTGAGACGCGTTTTGGGTGGAAGCCCAAGAACAAAATCGTGAAGACGTGGCCCAAAGCAGACAATATCTTACTATGCAGATTGTAAGATCGCACATCGCCCGGGGGAGAAGAGGTGATGTCCCTTATATGTACATGCCCACCTCCCTATAGTGAGACGCGTTTTGGGTGGAAGCCCAAAAACAAATCTATGAGGGTGTGGCCTAAAGCGGAAAATATATTACTACGCGGACTGGGATGTGACACTTGTGGTAGGAAACTTTTTTTTTTTTTTATTATTAATAGTTTGTGGTGTCGCTTAGTTGTTATTTTATTTATTGAATTGGTAGGTGGTGTTGGTTAGGGCCGACAATATGGTTGTTTATTTTATTTATTAAATAGTTAGGTGGTGTTGGTTAGGACCGACACTACTATCCTTTTTTAATGTCGCCTATATCTGACGTGAGTTTCAATGTCACTTTTATCCGACACCACTATCCTTTATTTTATTTTATATTGTTTTCCTTTTTCGTGACGGATTAAGGGGACTAACCGATATCAAAAGTCTTTTCGTGACGCTAGCACTGATGTCGGTTCTTTTATCCGACATTGCATGAGTTTATGTCGAATTTTTACCTATTATCCGATAGAAATTATGTTTTCATGTCGGTTTTTGGACTGCCAGTTATAGGTAATTTTGTAGTAGTGTCGACGAAACTGTCATTGGAAATCAGTCGGAAAAAGTGCTTTTGCTCGACAATTTTTAAGTTTCGTGGGACGGAAGTTCGCGCAACGACCTTTGACAAAAAAAATTCGAACAGAACTTAAGGCGACGAAATGTCATTTTGCCGACTAATTTTGTTCATTTGGAAATGTGTTTTTTTGTAGTGTTGTGTTGCTTGTATAAAAATGTTTTATTAAGAAAGATTAATGGTAAAACTAGTTTTTTCGAATGGAAAAAATTTGTTGTCCATGACAGATTGGATGCCAATGATGAAGGCAAGACAAACGGGAGAGCAGGTGCTAATGCATGAAGGCAAGTTGTTGCAACGTGCCAGTTGCAAGGTCCTGAACCTTTGTCCATGAGCTTTTACTTTTGTAGTTAGACTACATTAACTTAAAAAGAAAAAATTAGTATCCAGTCCCTAGTTACTATTGTTCATTCTCTGAGACCTCATTAGTTTTCAAATTTTGATTGAAGTCCCTAGCATTAATGTGATAATGAATTTACATGTTTATTACATAATTTTTTAAAATAAAAATTAGTAATTGATTTAGGGTTTTAATACTCACACCTCTATTAAACTCCTAATTGATTTTCAATTCAAACATTTCCAAAATTAAAAAAAAAAAATTTAGAACAAGTTTGTACCCATTAGTTTTTTTTTTTTATAAAAAGATTCTCAATTTTTTAATCTTAAATGTACCCATTCATATAATTTTCAATTTTTTTAATCTTAAATGTACCAATTTGTTATATGTAAAATGTACCATTTTTTAATATAAAATGAACCCAATTTTTCAATATAAAATCCATTAAAAAAAATTTTTTTAATCCATTTAACTTGTATGGGTACATTCTTTTTTATAGATTTTTTAGAATGTATCAATGTCAAGTTTGATCGAAGAAATTTACTAATGTTATTAAGCCTAATATCTTTTTTTTTCCTATGGTTTTGAAGAATATACCCATGTTTTGTTTTGGTACAATATGTTTTTTTTGTTAATTTAGATGAATGTACATATATATATATATATATATATATATATATATATATATTATATATATATGTATATATACACACACAATAGAGTATACTTTATATTTTATTATTTTTAATCCCACAAATGATGGGTTTTATTTAAAATCTCATTAATATAAATAAATACAAATTTCAATTTTTAATTTTTAATTTAAAACTATAGTAATTTACATTATTACATTAATGTCAAGGACTTTGATAAAAAAAAATTAAAAACAGACAAGGTTTCAATAAAAGAAGATTGATAGCTAAGGACCGCATCCAAAGTGTCTCCTTAAAAAAATACGAACGTCCCCACCAACCTACAAACTAAGAGTTTGTTTGATAACTATTCAGTTTTCAGTTTTCATTTTTTTCAGTTCTTATGCATTTCTTCCAAATTTAGCGTTCTTCTTCCACTCTTCTTCATCGTTTTTGCCCCGGCCCCATACACTTTCTCCATACGTATCTCAAGCACACACAAAAAAGCTAAAAGCTAACAAAATAGTTATATCAAACAAGCCCTAAGGGCTTGTTCTACACCCTCAAAAAAGACAAGCTTTCTTGATTGCATTTGTCCAACAGTCATTAATGTGAATGAAGTCTTCCCTCCTTGCAAGTGGCAAATCCATTACTCTGAAATCATCAATTCTTCGTTGAACCAAGTCTTGGAAGTTTTTCCCAACTGGTGGGTTAAACTAAGAGCTCATTTGTTATAGATGATTGAATTAGAATGGATAAATAAAGGGATCACTATTCTAAAGTATGTTTAAAGAATGAAAAAAAAATTGTAACCAACCCAAATGTAGGAGAATAATTACTCATGACGAAAACTTATCAATTCCAATCGTCCCCTAGATGGAAAAAACCCTCTTCATGTCTAATCATCTTTTAATCCCTTAAAATGAAAAAGCATTCCCCTCTACAGTCAAAATATATTCCTTGGAATTCGGAGAGTAATCAATTCCAATCAAATCTTTTATACCAAAAGAGGCCTAAATTTTCAGGAATCATGGATGAGAAGGAAAGGTGTGAAAGTAGTAGAGTTGGCGCAATGGTGTCATAAGTTTGTACGGGAAACAAGCTAAGTGGTAAAAACTTGGGCTGTAAGACATAAAAACTTGGGCTGTAAGACAAGCTAAGTGGAAAAACATTTCATCTTCTACTATTACTCACTGTGCAGTGGACAACTTATGAAACATTTAAGACTACAATGTCACACATGAGACGCTGAGAGCTCCTCCCGTTGCAAGGTCGGATCCAGGAATTTTCATAAGAATGAACAACAATTTTTAAGGAGCTCGAGAAGTGACCCAACCCAAGAAAAATAGGGTGAAATGTTTAAATGTTCCTACCAAACAACTAGTCACCAACCATATGTTGATCAGTTACCATTTTTAGATGGTATTGTAAGCTTTTGTCCTCAATAAGCATGCAGTATAACCAAATATGGAATAAACAATTGATTCCAAGGCTTAGAAGCAAGGTTCTTCTTGTTTCCCTTCCCGTATTAAATGGAAAGCTCTTGTGATTTTTCACATTAAACTAAAAGATTTAAATTTTGACCACCTACGTATACTTTATAGTTGGATCTATATTAATCTAACAATTCAAATTCGAATTAACAATTTTAACAACATAATATGTTAGACTGTAGAATAAGAGGAAGTTTCCTATTTAGACATGACACAAAACCGAGCGCAATGGCGTTCTAAGATTCATATAGCCGACCCCACTTAGTGGGAAAAGGCTTTGTTGTTGTTGTTGTTGTATGCTTGCAAACAAATCAATATGATGCTCCCAGAAGATGAGGAAGTGCATATATTAACAAGAAATATAATACACTTGAAGGCAACCATTTTCTTGACGTTAAAGCTCAGAGAGCTTTGTTTGGATTCACATATAGCTCTCTTTGCTTATAAATATACTTTCCCAAGCACTAAAGTAACAAGATTAATTAAGGTCTTCAGCAACTCAATTTTTCATAACACCAGAGTCCTAAGTCCCCATCAGTCGTTTGCTTCAAAGCTTCCATATGCAACCTGTACGGCCTCTATCTAATGCTTAATTTTTTTAGAACTTGGGCCAGCCTTATAAAACCATTAGACCTTGACCTTCTATCATGTCCGATCCCTACAAAATTTTCCGTTGCATACGAACAATCCGGTCTAAAAAAATGGTGAAAATCAACAATTTCTGCTGGGGTTCTGGTCTTCTCTACTTATGCTTTGTTGGGTTATTTTTAACTCCGGGTGAAGCTGCTTTGAAGAAGTACCAATTCGATGTGAGCAATTCGTAATGGCAGCCTTAACATGCAGACTATAAGTTTATTTATCCATTTATTTACTGATCATATACGTTCATTTTCAGGTTCAAGTGAAGAATGTTAGCAGGTTGTGCCATTCGAAGCCAATTGTTATAGTAAATGGGAGGTTCCCTGGACCTACAGTTTATGCTAGAGAAGGAGATACACTTCTTATAAATGTTACCAACCATGCAAAATATAACATGTCAATTCACTGGTATGAACATTTATATTTGAATTTATTTGACTAATTTAGCATGATTAATACGAACATTTGGGTTGTACTGATGAACAATTTGGTGGATTTTTGCAGGCATGGACTGAAGCAATATCGCAATGGGTGGGCAGATGGGCCCGCCTACATCACACAATGCCCTATCAAAACAGGGAACAGCTATACCTACAATATTACTGTAACCGGGCAAAGAGGAACACTTGGTGGCATGCTCACATCTTTTGGCTAAGAGCTACTGTCTACGGAGCGATTGTCATCTTGCCGAAACAAGAGGGTGGATTTCCATTTCCTCAGCCTTACAGTGAAGCTAACATTGTCTTAGGTGGGAGAGTGCGACCACAAGTTTTTGAAATACATGTAGAAAAATTCAGATTATATGCAGAAAATAATTGTTTTGTTTCTCGTCAATGCTGTAGGAGAATGGTGGAACAACGACGTCGAAGAGGTTGTTAAGAAAGGGAACCTACTTGGATTGCCACCAGATATGTCAGATGCACACACCATCAATGGGAAGCCAGGGCCTCTGTTTCCATGTTCTGAAAAACGTAAGCCAGCTCCTTCTAAAGAGAGATTCTTAGACACCAGATATTCGAGATGCTTCTTGTAATTTCTGGTTTGTTGCTATCTCAGATACCTATGCATTAGATGTTGAACAAGGAAAGACGTACCTGCTACGAATCATTAATGCTGCACTAAATGATGAGCTATTCTTCGCCATTGCTGGCCACAATTTGACAGTGGTAGAAATTGATGCGGTCTATACCAAACCATTTACAACCCAAGCAATTCTGATAGCACCGGGCCAGACTGCGAATGTTCTTGTTCAAGCAACTCAAGTGCCCAACAGATATTTCATGGCTGCCAGGCCATTCATGGATGCACCCATTTCCGTTGACAACAAAACTGCCACTGCTATACTACAATATAAAGGCATCCCAAATTATGTATGGCCAATCCTTCCTCAACTTCCAGCAGTCAATAACACTGCTTTCGCATTAAGCTACGATGGCAAGCTAAG